GAAGTAGTGGACAGGGCGTAAGAATGTATCAGTCAGACCAATAATCAAAGTAAGGTTTTATTCTCGCTGTAATAGACGCTTTGCATGGTAGCCATCTTGCAGGGTAGTTTTTTTGTTCCACAAGGAAACCTCCTTTGTGCACACCCTGTGGAACAAAAATATTGGACTGCAAAATGGCAGCTGTGCAAACCCTCTATTGGCAATCATTTTTGTCCCCATGTTCTCATTTTTGGAGGCTTGTTTTTTTGTTCAATGAAGATATTACTATTTAAAACAAGACAGCGGTCGGTCTGTAACAGTTGAAATAAAACAGAGAAACAAAGATGGCTGGATTATAAATTTGGGTGGAGCGAAGCTGCAACTACAAGAAAAGATTCTGTGCATCCCTCATAACTGTCACAAAAGGCCTCCAAACGTTTGTTAAAAATTGACTGTGTAAAGGAAAGGTCAACCGCCACAACAGCAAACATTAGGCGCTACTCTGTGTGGGAGTTGCTCCGATATGTTTGCCGTCAGAGTCATTATTAAATTGCCCTTTGTCTGCCCTGCGTTCCTCCGATTGGCAGAAGACAAATAAACCACTCCTCTGAGCAGCAGAGAGCAGAAACAGAACTTGTCAATGTCATTTCATATCTCCAGTTGGAGGCAGGAAAGGACAGGCTTGTTTGCACAGGACTAATGACCGGCCACAACATGCTTTATGCGAAGCACACACACACAAACACACCCTCATTTAGGGTACATGTACGTAGAGTGGACTTTCGTTTCTGCTCCTATAGTTCAGGAAACTCTGTGAAATTACTCATTTTCTCGAACTGCAAACACTATTTTAAGCTTAATTTAGGTTGACGATTTCCTCTTATTAAACTGTTCCTCTTCCGTTGGCTGTGGATAACCCTGACCCCCAAAACGCCTCCGAAACTTGTTTTTCAGAGAGGTGGAAGACCTGGTGGAGCTCTGGTTTAGTCCACACAAGGTTAACCAGTGAACACAAGATTTTCTCACCCGAAAAAGCTGCGAGGAGAGAGGCAGGGTTTTTCTTTTTACCCACAAATTCTTCAATCTTGTAATTGCGCTGTGACCCAACCAAGCATGACATGTTAATGTGTCGACCGCGGAAATGAAAAGACAGAATTTTCAAACGAGTGTACGTGACCACCCCCCCCCCCGGAACTAGTTAAGAAAATATGTGTGTTTACGCGTCATCTGGCGTCAAGTGGTTAAGACAAAATGGATTCAGTGGACCTGCTCTGTTCTCGGGTCCTCACAATCACGGCAAGGTTGGCACACACAGAGAAACAGTTTGACCAACTGTAATAAGACAGCCAGGTTGAAAAAAGGGGGGGCAATTGTCTCAAAAAAGCATGGACGATTGTGGGTGTGGATTGGCTCACTCTACTCTTCCCGCATCTGTCTCTCACAAACCCATCAGGCTCAAGAAGATTCTGTAAGATAGAGGAAGGCAGAGCCAAAACCACTGCCACTTTGACGTGGGGGTCGACACCCCTTGGAAATTCAAGCACAGAATATACGCCGTCGGACTCTCCACAGTGGTGGCTTTTTTCAGGATTCAAGACAGTGCCAATAAAAAAACAAAACGGCGGAGGAAGATAGGTCTACTGGTAATTTGTATGTCTGTCATCACAGTAACAATTCTTTTCTGCATGTCAAACACAACTGTTTGCATGAAATCCTGTTCTTTAAATGGTGTTGGTCACACCAGAGGAGCAGCGTTTTTCAGGAACGACAATCACAGACTTTTGGGATGAACCAACTGCAGTTGAAGGAACAGGGACTTGAGTCTGGGCAACTTCTGTCAGTTCTCTATCACTGGAGCGGTCCAGGTTTTGAGTTGATGCCGTCCCTCTTACGATGGGGAATCTTTTGCAAACCATCGGTCAGGTGCCGTGTGCCCCCTGACACAGCCGCTCATCTCTCTCCGTCCATTGAATTTGTCCATTCAAAGCAAACAAACAGTCAACCGGGGGAGTCCGATACTACACATGAGAACAAAACACATTTCTACCATTTGTTAACGATTCGAGAAATGGGGTACAGTAAACAGCTCAGGGTAAGAGCACGTATCTTTAATCATTCTGCTCTGGAATGTACATGTACAAAGCGTACTGTGACGCAATCGCCACGGCAACGGGCAGACATGTAGCAGATTCATTCCCCAGATGACCAAATTTTTTCTCGTCCGCTGGAATCTTTCGCTCGAGCACACTTGCTCAACTGTAAATCACGTAACCCAGGCACATTTTCGGGGTGTCAAAGGAGCTCCAGAAAAAAAGCAAATCTTCAGTAGACTTGAGAGTACAGAAGCGGGGAAAAAAGACATTCTGTCAACATCAAGTATGCCTGGAACGTCCTGGTATGTTCACAGCTGACTGGGAAAGACCCCGTCATCAGGAATGGCCGGAATTCTTTTCTCGGTCCCAAAAGTTCAGCTCTGATGAAGGAGCAGCCCCCCTCCCATGATAACTCCATGAAATTCTCCCATTCAGGATCAAGTGCAGACAGGAGGAAAACAAAACGCAGGTACAGCGTTAACGAGATGATCAGGAAGACTGATAAAGAAGTCAACGCGGGTAGGGCACAGGGAACCTTGAAAAAGGTCACCTCTAGTTAACCTTCCTTTTGCTGTAACCGTCAAAAACAGTCATAAATTCCTTCCGCTTCTCCCTCTACAGCACAGACATATCATATGTCACTTGACTGATTTTTGACTGACAGGACTACTGCATCCAGAGTGCATCTTTGCATAGGGGGGTTCAAAGATGCGGGTCGGTCAAAGACAGAAAAAAATCCTTCATTCCTGACAGCAATTCAGGTATCTGTACACCTTTGTCTCTGCTAGTTTAATTCTTGGACCCGACCATCGGAACCATTAATGGTGATTCTTTCTCCAACTTCAGTATTAATTAGCCTTTTCTAGAAATTTGAATAAAATCTGGTACACTGAGTTCGTTACATATTCACGTGAACATAATTTGAATTCACCATACTAAAGTCAGCGTTGCCATACCGGTACCTCATGATTCGGGGCAAGCTGTTGCTTAGTTACATAAAAGACGCCTTGCACCAATATACTGTTTTAATGGGTAAGGAGGGCACAAAGGAACCAGTCCATTTCAGAGATGATGGTCACGATGCAAAAGCTTGCCCTGAATCATGAGGTACACAGCAAACGTGTCTTTAGTCTGGGGAATGCAAATAGTTTTGTTTATGTACGATCAGATAACTCAGTGTACCAGATTTTATTCCAATTCAACTTGCAAGAGGCTTATTTGCCCAGGCTCAATTCCCACTCGGGGCCACATTCCAAATTGGGCTTTCAGTTCTGACTGCTGTAAATAGGGATTTTATTTCTGAGGACTTCCCAGGCATCAATTTTCTCAATCCTCTAAAACTGAGCTCTCCTTCCTTGCATTATTGCAACTAAAAGCTGTATCTTTATAGAGATCAGCCCCAAGTCACTGAAAGGCCCACTCACAAAAAATAGGTATTTAATTAAAAGAGCAAATGATTTAGGGCTTAAATATAATTATATAAGATACGATTTGGGGGGTTTTTTTGATTGGTTTTGTTTTGTTTGGTGTTTTGCATCACTGCGATGTTCATTTTGTAGACCGGGAGTTTGTGTCCTTCATCAATGTACATTTTCATGTATAAACACTGTGTGCTGTGTGTTGTCCAAGAGCTAGTACAAATTTCACGAGCTTACTCAGGTGCGAGTCAAAGCCAGGACCTTGGGCTTACTAGTGCAGATGTCTGAACCACTCAACTACTGGGCTTGCCAGGGCCAGCTTGCAACTTTAAAAGTAATCGGCTGCAGGTACCGCACACGCAACATACATGTAAGATGTCATTTTTTGGTCGACAAGTTAATTTTGTTGAATTCAGAGTTTTTGGCTGGTGAAAAATTTCCAAGCTTCCTAGCCGAAGCGGAACTGAAATCTCAAGGGCTTATCTACCTTGTCACACTGGAGGAGGTAGCTGTGGATCTTGGAGCCGTTGGCCAGGGGCGGGGTCCATCGCAGGCCCAACGAGTTCTTGGTGCGTCCGGTCAGGCGGGGGATGAGCGGGACGTCCGGCGGGCAGCCCTGGGTCTCAAAGACGGCCGGCTGGGAGAGGGCCCCCTTCACATTGTCCAATATTGCACACACACTGCCGGGGGGGGGAGGAGGGAGACGAGATAAAAAAAAAAAAAGAGATCAAAGCAAGGGACACAGAGAACCACTTGTCGCATCTCAATTCCGTTTTTGAAAAGTTTGCGCTCGCTAGGTATTTTGTGACCTGCTCGACGAAAATGTCTCAAAGGTCTCCGGAGCCGCTTTGGCGTTGAAGGCCGAAAGGTACGGTACGTGTAACTTGCACAATGAAAGCAACAGGAAGACCCACTGCATTTGATAATGTCTATTTTTACCAGGATGCCAGACTGAGGGACATGTGTACATCAACACAGAAAGTCGGACTTGCTCTTTCTATTGCAACTGAGCAAAATGAAATCTTAAAAAAAATAGTCTTACAACTCATTTTCACAGAGCATATATTCACAGAGCATAGTTTCACAGGGTCACATATATTTGTCGGGGGAATCTTCAAGAATTCTCCAAATTCCAAACAGCCAATGGCACATATTTCTCTGCTCTGAACAAAACTGGGTCACCACGCCACACCTCGAATGACAGTGGTTAACAAAATCCACTGAAATAATTCCTTCACAGAATGGTAAATAAAAAAATACTTTCAGAGAGAAGAAAGCAGCTCTGGATGTGAAGTGCTCTCCTTAATCGATTGGGAATCCTTGATGCTGATCCATAGTAACGACAATGCGGCATAAAACCTGATTAATACACCCCCCACTGCATCACAAACTCCTTCTGTCATTCTTAAACACTTGGATTTTCATCACCGCGAGGCATTTTTGTCTTTTTTTTTTTAGAGGAGGATTAGGAGCTTCCAATTGTGTCCGCGCGGCCATAGATTATCTGTGGCAAGGTCTATGGGAAAACTGGGCCGACGCGTCGGATATTGAAAGGCCAGATTACGCTCATGATGGGCTGAAGTAGATGTGTGAGGGGGGAGTTGATTTGGTATTAATAGACACTGACACCTTGTTTTCCCCCAGTTCTCAGCTGGAGAAGAGTGCACCACGCTTCAACCACACTTACTTGGCTTAACCACTTGCTGCCTGGGGACCCGTTTTCAAGCTTTATACACGGAGCCGGGGAACCCAAAATAGGCAAAGGGAACAGGGCCTTGTAACAAAAGACCGTACTCGGAACAAAAGACCAGGCTGCTGGGAATTACCAACATTTTTTCAATCTCAAAAGTGGAGATAATCTCGCCTTGTTTTGAAACAGTATACCACGGTTTGGGGCATTTAGAGTGAGCGGATTACCACCGGGGACAAAAATGCTCCACCACTACAGCGATGAGCCACACAGTACCGCTTCACAT